ACGCCCACCCCTGCCTACCGGCGGGAACCCTGAACATGTGCGGTGGGCCACTCCTTTGTTTCCCTAGCTTGACCCTCTGGGCACGCGTTAACGAACAAACCCCAGTCCTATGCTGGCCTAACAGGGCCTTGTTTGTTTTTAATTAAGAGGGGGAAAAAAAAGGTTTTGAACACTTGTGGTGAGCCTGGGTCAAAACCACTAGTACCTTAACTTTTAGAGGATACACGTCTATCTGTCCTGTAAGAAGTATGTTCTTGGTGCTCCTTAGAGGCAAAGATGGCTGGATTCACCTTACATACTTTCTCATAACATGTTGTCAGCAGAGCTCAGTCCCTGGGGAAGGGCATTATGCTTGGTAAAGTGGAGGGGCTGAGGAAAAGAGGAAGGCCCTCAAGGAGATGGACTGACACAGTGGCTGTAACGATTGGTTTAAGCACAGGATCAGTTGGGACGATGGTGCGGGACTGGGCAGTGTTCTGTGCTGTTCTGCATAGGGTCGTTGTGGGTGGGAACCGATTTGATGGCAACTAACAATAACAACAACATCTGTAAACCATTCTGGGCAAGACCAAGCACATGCCCCGCCCAACCTGGCAATGGCTGATTCTTCCCTGGACTGGCCTAGGGTGTTGTACTCCACTTTCAAACTGTACCCAGCTTGAGGGCAAAGCTGCCAGCTCGCTGGCTAATGGCCACACACAGGACTCAAGTGGAGTTATAAATTAGGCCTTATTGCCATATGGAGTTAGGGCTGCCACGGTAATCCACTGTCTTCCACAAACCAAGTGCTTTAGAATGTAGGCTGTAGTACAAAACAGGTCTGAGTGTCTGTGTGGGGCAAACAGTGAACGAGCTCAGCTGCAGTTAAGCAAAAGATTGGCGGTTCAAGTCCACTGAAGTGCATCAAAACAAGGCCCTGGCAATGTTCCAGAAAAATAACCCACCGAAAACCCTATGGGGGCCAAGGGGTCAGGGGGAGCTGATATCAAGGAGTTCAAGAAGGAAGAACATGTTTTGAAACTGATCGTGGTAGCAATTCTACATTATTACGGTATGTCTGGATTAGCGCCTAATAAAATGATTTAGAAAAAAAATTTTTTTTAATGAAATAAACCTGAAAAAGAAAACCTTATGGAGCACGGGGTCCGCCATGCGTTGGGCTCATTTGAGAACAACTTAGTTTTTAAAGCTCCCGTGATCAAGTCCTCAAACTATACTCAAGATTCCGTGGCTCAGTGTGGTGGACATTTTTGTCGCATAAACTTCGTGCTGTCTACCTAAAGACCACTGCCTTTGGGAAAGCCCCGTAGAACTAAAATTGCAGGTTGCTCCCTTTATTCCCAAATTACAAAGGAAAGCCTACTTTGCTGCAAGGAATTCTGGCTAACGTAAGCCCAGGAGCACGCCCCCTGGCGCTGAGCGGCGCTATTTCCTGCCAAACTTGCGACCGGCGAATAAGAAGCGAGACCTTTTTCCGTAAACGTCGCTTACGGGCGCACGCTGGTTACGTAGAGGGGCGTGGCTCCCTAGTCCCACGCGATTGGTCCGCATGTGCACCAGAGGCTTCTGGGACCCAGCCTCCGCGGGGGCCTGTGGGAGTTGTAGTTCGCACGCCCGCTGGACTTAGGCCGTCGGGCGGCGGCTCCGAGTCCTGGGCGGCCCTCCGCCTTCGGCGCTGGCCTCGGAGGATGGATCCCGGACCCGGGAACGACTCGTTGCCGCTGACCGGCCTGGCCTGGTCCTCGGCCTCGGCGCCCCCGCCGCGAGGATTCAGCGCTGTGAGCGGCGTCGGGGGCCGGGTTGGCTGGGGGCCGAGGCGGTAGCGCCCAGGGATGGGGTTCGGCGGCGTCCCGGTGGGAACCGGGCACTGATCGACTCGCACCCCACAGGTCTCCTGCACTGTCGAGGGGGCGCCCGCCAGCTTTGGCAAGAGCTTCGCGCAGAAATCCGGCTACTTCCTGTGCCTCTGCCCGCTGGGCAGCCTGGAGGTAGGGGCGCCCACGCTCGTGGGTTCCCGGGTCCGCCCGCAGCGCCTGTCCCTGCGTGGGCTTGGTGGCGGGAGCGCCGTCCCTGCCGCCCGTGACCCTCGTCGTGTCCCCCAGAACCCGCAGGAAAATGTCGTGGCTGAGATCCAGGTCCTGGCGGACAAGAGCCCACTCCCGCCCGGCTTCTCTCCTGTCAGCGATCCCCAGGACTCCAGTAAGGCCCGCAGAGGGGGTCGGGGGGACGGCGCTAGGGGGTGGCATCAGAGTCCCTCTTGGTAGAAGCAGGACGGGGTGGGGGTAGGGGGACGTCAGACACTCCCTCCGCGCTCGGCCCCCTTCGCTGCTGCTGGGGTTGGCTGGCTGTGTTCTGTGATGGAGCCTTGTTCCCTGGCTTGTTTTCAAATGTGCAAATTGACAGGCTTTCGCCCAGGGTAAGGGTTCAATTCGTGCAACTTTTTCATCAGTGCTACCTCCAGTTCTGGTCTCATTGCCCGGGCAAGTGGAACCCCGCAAAGGTCTTTAATGTCCCCCATGTCTTCTCCCGGGAGCGTCCTGTTCTTCCAGTTCACCACCTAACTCCTGGAGACACGCCCCCTCTCCCTGCTGCTGCACCAGCCCTGACCACTCGGCTTTCCAAACCACTTCAGCTGCCCAAGCTTAGTCTTTGGTCGTTTTTGTTTCAATCTTCAGAACATAATTATGGATACTGGAGTTGACCCACTTTTTTTTTTTTTGTAAGGACCAGATCATAACCTAGGTTTTGCAGATGTAGAGATCTGCAAATTCCCTGCACATTCCTTCTCTTCCCGTGGTGCTTGTCAGTGCCAGGAGGTTGATTCCACCTGGTGCAATGCGTTACGTAGTAAAACTGTGTGTTACAGAGTGTAACTGCTGGGCCCCAGCGGGTTTTCAAGGCTGTGACCAGGCTGCTGGGTGGTGCCAAACCCACCCAGAGGTGTCTCAGAAGGCGGGGCCTCCCGCTGTGGCTGCTTCTGGAACGTCCCAGAGCCTTGGCAGCCCTCGGCAGCCGTTGTCGTCAGCACACCCGGGGTCGGCATGCCATGTTTCCTTGACAAGCCTTCAACCGTGTGAAAGGGCCCCACAGGGGGAATATCAGTTCCAGGCAGGAGACCTGGGTTCCACTCCTGGCCAGTGTGCGTCACGTGCAGCCACCACCTGTCAGCGGAGGCTGGTGTGTTGCTCTGATGTTGAACACGTTTCAACCGAGCTTCCAGCCTAAGATAGTTAAAGAAAGGCCTGGAGATCTTGTGAAAATCAGCCGGTGCAAACCCTAAGGCTCCACAGCTGATCCTCGGGTGCCGGCCCGACCAGTCAGCACCCCGTGCTGCTGCCTGTGGGGTCACCCGGAGTCTCGTGGGCCAACTCAACGGCAGCTGTAGCAACAACAGAAATCTGTTGACACACCCCTCTGAGCTCCTGGGAGGTAAACAAACAGGGTCTGGGCCAGATTTGGCTTATGGGCAAGGGTTGGCCGATTTCCAGGAGGGAGGATGGAGGGAAAGCAAGAGTCCTGGTGCCAGCATGGCCACCCCTGCCTTCACGTCCACAGCTGCCCTGTGACGACCTGTCCATGTCACCAACAATCCGCCAGCCCTCAGGCACCCCTGGGTCATCGGAACAGTTAGTGGGCTCACCTGCTCACTCACTGAGCGGTGGGAGGTTTGAGTGTCTTCAAAAACCCAAACTCACTTGTCAGCGAGCCGAGGCCGACTGATAGCAACCCGACCCTGGAGGACAGCATAGGACTGTCCCTGTGTTTCTGAGATGGTCTCCCCTAATGGGAGTAAAAAGCCCGGTGTGTCTCCCGAGAGGGTCTGGAGCTGTCGATCTTGGGATCGCAGCCTGGCTGGTGACCACGGCACCAAAGCTCCTGGAGTTCTTTCAGGGGTGCTGCCAAAGGACGGCCTGGCTGTCTGCCTCTCGGAACCCTTGAAGCACAGGTCTCACCTCACCCAGGAGCCCAGGTGTGGTGGTTTCTAGCCAGGCTGTGATCTGTGTGGTTGGCAGTTAGAAGCAAAGACTCGCTTTCTACTCCTGTGAACAGCTTCACTCTTGGGAACCCACCAGGGGGGTGCTGTGAGTCAGCAGTGATTCGATGGCAGTGGGTTTGGTTTGCTTTGGTTGGCCTCTCACACCCGGGATCATCAGGAGTTACGACAGTTCAATGGCAACTGGCTGTGACCCCGAATGGCTGCATAGTGACCCCCTCCCATGCTAAGACCACTCCTGATTGAACCTGTCTCCTCTAAGGGCAGAGCAGGTGCAAGCTCCAGCCGAAGCCCACTCTGGGGACCCCTGCTCCCCCCTCACTTCCCTGCCCTCACCCCCAGAGGCTTCCATGTCCAAGAAGAAACGGATGTGTGTGAAGCTGGTGCCCCTGGGGGCTTCGGACACGGCCGTGTTTGACGTCCGGCTGAGCGGGAAGACCAAGACGGTGCCTGGATACCTGCGAGTAGGGTAGGGCTGTCCCCAGCCGCCAGCCTCCTTCCCTCCAACTTCTGCATGGGCCCCTCTGACCCCCCAGGGCCTCCCCTGAGATCCTGCCCCTCCTCTCACCTCAATTTCCGCGTCTTAAAAACAAGATCCTTGTCCCAAAGTCGCAGGGCCAACGGGAGTGTTGTGTGGCCGCAAGGCAACGGGTGGCTCAAATGGTTCAGCACTCACCCACCACCTGCCGCTCGGGAGGCAAGACCACTTGGAGGTCCACTTCCCAAGCTCTGTGGGGTGGTGCGCACCCTTGGGAAGTCGGAGCCGACACACGGCAGCAAGCAGCCCCGTGCACAAGAGTGTTGGTGTGAACCCAGCTGGCGGCACCAGGAAGAGAGGCTTGGGGTTATAATGAGCGCTGTGATGACCACGGCCGAGAAAGCCCCCGGAGCACAAGCTGCCTATGGTGCTCCGGTCCCCGGAGCTGGAGACTCGGTAGAAATAACAACTGCCTGTGCTGAGGGTGCCGGTGCAGGTGCCAAGACCAAGGTCCCCCCAGTAATGGAAGACCTGAGGCCCTATTCCAGTGGGTCTGAGCCTTCCTCAGGCCGAGACCCTCCCATACCGTTCCTCATGTGGTGGGGACCCCCC